AATGATGAAAAAGAAGAGCATCAAAAAACTGTTTTGCTTTCAAAAATCAAATTTCTAGACGGAAAAGAAATAATCTTTTCCCATAACCAAAACCGAAAAAAGTAATTGTTTGTTTTGGGTGATTTTAATTTTCAAGAATATAAACCATATCACTTTGATATTCTGGTTGACACATGAGCTACCACATGCGCTTGCTGCCCAACACCGTTACCAGTAGAAAAATGGGAACGTATGAAAAGCCCATTACATGCAACTGACATTGATGGGAGCAATACTCTCATAGAATATAAAGCCAAAAACATTGTTATCTGGTTGGGAAATAAAAAAATTTCCATCCCCAAGGTATTATGTTTTCCATTCATGCATGGAGATTTTATTTTGGGAAACAACTTTATGCAAAACCACTACCCAAGTGAGATCTTCTCAAACAAAATAACCTTATTTCAAAAAGGAGAAAAAGTTGATATACCTGTGTCCCCATTTTTTAAGGGCTTTAAAGAGGATGAAGATAAGAAAGGCTTTATGACCAAATAGAATCCCGACATAAGTTTGAAAGTGCATGGGAGATATTAGCATTAATTGACTGATGAAGTTGTTCAACAAGGTATTGAGAACAAAGAAAATGTTAGACGAATGGACGAAAAGTATTGTGATATCTATTTACAAGAACAAACGAGACATAAAATTGTGTGAATTATCGAGAGATAAGTTTATGAGCCATATTATGAAGCTCTAGGAGAGAGTGATTGAGCAATAACTGCGGCATGAAACAAATGTATTTGAAAACCAATTTGGTTTTATGCCAGGAAGGTCAACAACCGATACTATTTTTTTACTTAGGCAACTGATTGAGAAGTTTATAGTGAAGGGAAAGTACCTTTACATGATCTTTATTGATTTAGATAAAGCTTATGATAGAGTACTTCGAGATTTGATTTGGAGAGTGTTAGAAAAGAAAGGGGTCTCCATATACTACATCAACTTGATGAGAGATATGTACGCTGAAGCACTAACTAGTACACAAACAACTAGCGGAGAGACGAGTGAGTTTTCATTGACAACACATCTACATCAAAGGTCAACGTTAAGCCCATATCTCTTTGTCTTAATTATGGACAACTTAACTAGGTACCTACAAGATGAGGTACCATGGTGCATGTTGTTTGCAGATGACATAGTTTTAATCGATGAGACCCGAAATGATATCAACACAAAGTAAGAACTTTGGAAGGATATTCTAAAATCTAAAGTTTTTAAAATTAACCGGACTAAGACAAAGTACGTGGAATGCAAGTTTAGTAATAATAGGAGTACAGACGAAAAAGTAGTTCATATTATCAGCCGTGAAGTACCAAAAAGACCACACTTTTGATATCTTACGTCGATAATCCAAGAAATTAGAGAGATTGAGGAAGGAATCACACATATAATTAGAGCTAGGTGGGTAAAGTGGAGATGCGCAACTAGAATTTAATGTGATTGCCGAATACCAATGAAATCGATGAGCAATTTCTATTAGACAATTGTGAGACCAGCTTTGCTCTATTGGGTGGAATGTTGTCGGACAAAAATAATATACTCATAGAATAAATGTAGCTGATATGAGGATGTTGAGATGGATGAGTGCCAACATAAAAAGAGATAGAATTCGAAATGAATCCATTTGAAAAATTTTAGGTGTAGCACCAATAAGTGATAAGATGAGAGATGATACACTTAAGTGGACTGTCTATGTGTGGCGCAGACCTAGTGCAACACCTTTTAGGATGTGTGAATTAGTTCGAGTGAAACGATCGAAAATGGCAATGGGTAAGCCCAAAAGGATGTGGTTAGAAGTAGTCCCAAAGACCAAAGTTCTTCCAAAATGTAGCTCACTGCCCCTGGGTTCTGTTGTGTTAGCATGCACCATTGGGCCATGTTTTATGAGTTTCCTTTTTAATGAGTGTCAGTTATCTGTTCTCCTCTTCTTGCTGAAAGTTCAAGTATAAGGCAGATATTTTTGGGGAGGGGATCAGACTATCAGTCTTTGTAAAAAAGATCGAGCCTATGATTCACTACTAGCGCATAACAAACCTTAAGACTATGTCATAAAAAATAGATCGGTGACCCAGATCATATATCGGCGATTTTGTGCGAACATCGCAACTCTCCCCAAAAAGAGAAGGTTGATCTCTCTCTCACACACGCACATAGAGGCTCTAAATCCTTGAGTAGAAAGTGTAGTCTCATCACATGCGCACAAATAATTGAGAACAGACTGAAACTATTCATTACTTTATTGACTTTGGATGATTCTTGGATGCAAAAGTATTTGGTGAATCATGCCTGGTTATTTTTTGGTAATTGAGGACTCCAAATTACATCCTAATCATTGTGAATCCACTTCCACCTTAGATTGATTTGGAGCTCCAAAAACATCACAAAAAGCACATGTTCTTCGAAGAATTTAAATGGGCAGCCACAAAAAAGGTTGAACGTTTTTAAGACCAAAATTCGTTTGCCCCCATTATTTATGATCGTTGTAATCTAAATTACAGAACTGCAAAAGCTTGGACCTGAAAAAATCCATCTAGGGGTGGCAATTGGGTCAACTTGCAAGCCAGAAGGATCAATCTGAACCGGTTCTGGGTTCCGGTCCATGTTTTGGACCTTGCGGGTTGAGTCCGTGTCTAAATGCTTGGACCCAACCTAGGTCGGATTCGGTTCCTGGTCTCATCTGTTGAGGATTGATGTCTTGTATTTTGAGGATATATCCGTACATGGGATTCGATATATCTGGAACTTAATATATATCCGTATAAGGGTATTTTGGTAATTTATACCATTTATCGTGAGGAAGAAAGCTTTTTGTAGCCCTATTCTCTATTGTCAGTAAAAAAGTTATCATCTCTCGTAGACATAGGCACGTTGCCGAACCACGTATATCATTGTGATATGGTTGGTTGTCTCTTTCTTTTATGTTTATTTCTTCTGTCTAGTTTTCATGGATTGCTTTTCGTTTCTACATCATCAACATTTGATGTCATCACCATTACTAATCTCAGAAGTGTGGTTACCACCCACCAAGCTTCGAAGGGAAATAAAAGTGAGAGCAAAAATGTCCAGTGCTAAATAATAGGAAACAAATTTTTTTCTTTATTATTATTACACGTTTTTTGCTTACCGCAACGGCAAAAAACAGATAGCGAGAGGGGAATGAGCAAATTTTTACCTTGATTTATTATTACTGCATATGATGAGTGCTCTATTTATGGGCATCTATGTAGATGATGTCTCTATGGCATGTAATAGGCTCCACTATGTAAAGGGTGAGGTTGATATAAGGTCCATACCTTAAGCAATCAAAATAAGGAGTATTTCAAACCTTACTGGAAGACACAATTTTGGAAACTCTCACAATGGCTTAAAAATCTATTCTTAAGTATTGAAATTTAAAGTTCAAAAAATGATACAAATTGAGCATATATGCAAACATTTGAAACTCTTGAAAATTGATCGTCCGAATAATGTATTATAAGATGTACTATTTTTTTAAAACTTGAAAATATTTTTTTTTATCATATACATCTAGAGATCAAGTATGGGTGATTTTTCAGCATCAAAACAACATTCGCTAATGGATTTTTTGAGGTACACTTCAAATGATTTATTATGGGCCTGCGTTTGAAGCTTCATTCTTAGCCTATGTTAGTCTTGTGGACAAGACTGGCTTTTGCTTACCTGTTCTATGCATGAAAGGAAACCATATTACTTCTTGTGGCTTCTGTGTTGCAAAAATTGGGTGCTTGGTGCGCTCTTGCTGTTTGACACACAATCCCATGCTATTAATTCTGCCTTTGCAGGTCTACGGAAAATGTTTGCGCAGTCCTGGCCCGGCCTTAGTCCCTAAAGGGCTGACCCGAGCACGATCCCACCCTAATAGAGCAGAAAATGCCCTATCCAGAATCTCGCTGGCCCTTCTGCAAACCTAGCTTAAGCCAGGCACTACCCATGCCCCGCTCCTGGCTCGGCTCTGTCCTCAGGCCACGGTGACCATGCCTTTAGCTAAGCCCTAGTTTTTTAGGGCCGGATGGCTGGCTGGGTCAAGCCAATCAGCCCATTGCCAGCTCTATGTTCTTACAATCTTAGGTGATTTAAGGGTCTAACTTTCTATGTTTCCATCACCCAAAGGTTTTGGTGCATATTGGTTAGGTACCTAACATTTGGTATCAGAAGAACCACTGCGTTTCTATCACTCGAGTTTTGGGGCACGTTGGTTAGGTACCTAAAATTTGGTTTTAGAGTAACCACTGCGACCCAAGTTCAAATCCTAAGAAAGGGCTACTTGAAAAAATAAAACTAGAGTGTGAGCCACCATAGAGTGAGAGTAACCATAAGAGCCACCGAGAAAGTCCGCTGCGGAGCGTGTTTGTATGTTACGATCCAAAGTGGTCTAAGGGCCTAACTTTTCACGTTTCCATCACCCAAAGGTTTTAAGGCGTATTGATTAGGTAGGTACCTATTACTTAACATATATGAAGCTACTGCTTACACTACAACCGCACTACAAACTCAAAGGTTTTGATGGATTGAAGACCCAAAACCTACCTGCAAATACCTTTCGTGCCAAGATAATAGATTTGAAGCTAAAGGGTGCAAATCTAGATGGGTGGCTCAGATTAGATTTTGACAAAGCATTTTTACGGCTCCAAATCTTTTTTAAAAAATTTCTTTTGACTTTTATTTCCTCAATGTTGATCTCAGGTTTTGACATAGCATTTTTACGGCCCCAATTTTTTTTTTATTTCTTTTTATTTTCATTTTTTTGCTCCACAATGTTCATCTCGAAAAGTAAGATGATGTATTTGCAGATTTTGAGGTCCTCATCCATCGAAATCACGGAGTTAGATGTACATGTTTAGTGCAAGGAATGAAACTGCAATATCAATGTAAATGCACCTATACTTAAAAAGATTTTCAAGATTTTTGAACACTCTTAGAAAGAGAGAGGCCAAAGGCCATTACCAGAAATCCTTACAAGAACAGGTTCCCTCTCTAAAATGATGGAACCTTGTCCCATCCCTAACGTCAATCTCTCTACTGTAAATCCTAGAAACCAGCTTCACAAGAGAGTGGCAATTTCCACAAATCCTAAGGTTCTTCACCAAAGTAATAAGCACCCCACTCTCAGTTGAGATGAGACCAAATGCAATGGCCAATATCTCACTATGGCACGAGAGAGCCCACTCTCTCTCCTCGTCTTCTATATCAAACATGACCTCTTCTTTAGACGCTATATATCCAACACCCTGCAACCTCCTAAAAATCTCTTCGACCATTGAATTTATCTCTCTAGAAAATGGGTGTGAGTGATCTCCCATTACAAACTCCTGGACAACACCCCCCACCTCAATCGCACTACACCCCGGCATCTTTCTCACTCCTCTCTCTCTCATCACTTTCCTCAATTTCCCAACATCATCCCATCTATTCGTTTTGGCATAGATATTAGAGAGAAGCACATAGTTCCCACTATTCTCAGGGTCTAGCTTACAAAGGTGATCCAAACAAGCCTCACCTAACTCTACATTGCCATGAATTGTACAGGCCCCAAGAAGTGATCTCCATATTATGGCATTGGGCTCTAAAGGCATTCTTTCGATCAAAGCATGAGCTTCTTCTATAAGGCCAGCCCTGCCTAATACACCAACCATGCACCCATAGTGCTCGAGCCTGGGCTTAATATTGTGAGCCATTTGCATAAGCTCAAAGAACCACTTTGCCTTGTCCACAAGCCCAGAGTGTGTGCAAGCACAAAGCAAAGAGAGAAAACTCACCCCATCAGGTTTCACCCCTGAATTCTCCATCTCTAGGAAGAGATCGCATGCCTCATGCCCATGGCCATGAATAGCAAGGCCATGGAGCATGGCATTATACGCAAGTGTATCTCTCTTATACATGTTTTTGAAAACCTTTTCAGCGCATTTTAAACTTCCACACCTAGCATACATGTCGATTAAAGCAGTGGCAATGAAGATGTTGGGGTTCATGTCGTGCCTGTTTATGTATAAATGGAACCATCTGCCATGGCTTAGTGAGCCTAGCTCTGAACAAGCAGATAATAGAGCCACCAGAGTGTGTTCGTTGGGTTGAACTTGAGCAAATTGCATGGATTTGAAGAGACAGAGAGCATCCATAGGAAGGCCATATCGAGAATAGCCAGCAATCATGGAGTTCCATGAGACAACATCTCTCTTGGGCATTTTATCAAACATCTTGCGCGCGCTTCTGAGATCATGTGATTTTGAATAGAAATCAACCAATGCAGAGTTCACAAAAATGTCTGATTCGAAACCGAGAAATTTTACAATATGGGTATGGATTTCTCTCCCTGAAAATGTGCAATTTTGGTAGAATTTTTCTCGATCTGATTCAGAACCCAGAGATTTTACAATGTGGTTATCGGTTCCTCGCACTGGGGATGTGGATTTTTGGGAAGAGAGAGCCTTGAGGAGGAGAGAGAAAGTGTAATTGTTTGGTAACAAGCCACCGTGGAGTAAAAGCCTGTAGAAAGAGAGAGATTGTTGTGGGGACTTGATGAGAGAGAAACCCATAATCATAGAGTTGAAGGAGAAGAGGTTCGGCCTTAGGGTTTGTGTGAAAAGCCTCATGGCATAATCCATGGAGTTTAGAGAGCAAAAGGCGAGGAGGCGGCTTGAGGCGAAGGGATGATAGGTGAGGCCCGTAACTATGAAGTGAGAGTGAATTTGTTTGAATGTTTTCATGTCTCCACATCTTTGCAGGTGGATTAGAGCCGGATGTTTGATGACAAAGCTGGAAGTTTTCTCTTGAGAATTTTGAAGCAGAGTCAAGTGATTGATGAGATTCTTCTTGATGAGCATGACAGCGGCATGCTCTAATCCATGGCGAGAGAGAGGGGAGCATGCCCCAATGCATGGGGGAGAGACAGACTCATAATCTCTCTTTTGCAAGGTTTAAAATTAAGGGTGCGGTTTGTATAGAACCTAGGCTCTAAACAATCAAATTAGAGCCTACCTTCAAATAGTCTCGAGACATATGGTTTCAATATTAAAAATCTTTTTTATAGCTTTAAAATATATTTTTATTTTTATTTTTATAATTTTAAAGCTTCAAAAATAGACTATTTTCACACTTGAAAATCTTAAAAATTGACGATAAAAAATACGTCACAAAATACGTTTGTTCCAATACTTGTAATCTATTTTTTTCTCATGTTCATACATCTTGATGTCAAGATAATCAATTTGAGGATATTTGAGCATAAAAACAATTCTTTCTAGTGAAATTTTTTGTGATAGGCTCCAATTTGATTGTTTAGAGCCTCGGCTCTATATAAACTTTCCCCTAAAATTAATAGCCCAAAGAACCGTTTAAAATAAATAAATAAAAATAAAAGTTTGAAAAAAAGGTGTGGTTTCTATAAAGTGGAAACTTTAAACAATCAAATTAAGGTATACCTCCAAATTTTATCATAACATGTAATTTGAAGTAAAAATTTCATAGGATTATCTTAAGGGAAATGACTTTGTGAGAACGTCCCATAACCATGTGTGTAGGACATCAAAAGATCACTATTAAATTTGACACATATCTCTATAAAAGTCAAATCTCACATCCATATGATAACTTTTTTAGAGATCTGTGCCAAATTTAATGGTGATCTTTTTAGAATCCTACACCCATGGTGTGGGAAGGTCTCATAGGATCATTACTCTTATCTTAAAATCTATTTTCATCTCTAATTATAAAATTTTAAATTAAAAATATAATTAGAATCAAGTAGATCTGTAAACATATGAAATCTTGAAACTGAAAGGTCTAGATAATGTGTTGCAACATGCATTATTTTTTAGATTCAAAATCTTCATTTTTTTCCATATTCACACATTTTGATGTCGAATTTAAACAACCTTTTATGATATATTTTTTAAGTGCATCTTTACTTCTACATTTTAAAGTTGCAACCTTATATAAACTTTTTTTTTGAGAAAATTACATAATATTTATTTTTGAGAAATGACACCATGAGACCCTCTCATACGCACGTGAGTAGGACTTCAAAGGATTACCATTAAATTTAGCACAGATCTCTAGAAAAGTAATCACATGGATGTGAGACTTGACTTTTTTAGAGATCTGTGCCAAATTTGACGGTGATCATTTGAAGTCCTACTCACATGGATGTGGGAGGGTCTCATAGGATCATTACTCTTTATTTTTTAATGTTAATTAAATCTTACAATTAATTTTTCCATTCCGTACCCATTTTCCGCCTGTTATAATAGCTTGCAAATTTTTTAAATAACTAAGTTACCTTTTCTCAAAATTTCAAAATCTATTTTGAAACTTTTAGATTTTCAACATCCAATAAATTACATTTCACTCTCCCCCAATATTTTTGAAATTTTTAAAATCCCAAATTTTTGAAAATTAATCTTTTTGGAGAAACTTGTTTCAAAATTAAATTTTTAAATTTTTAAAATCTGAAATTCATTTAAAAATTAAAATTTTTAGATATTTAAAAGAGTAATGATCGTATGAAACCTTCAAGCACCCATATGTGTAGGATCCTTAAGGATCACTATTAAATTTACTCTAAAAAAGTAAATCTCACACCCACGTGATAACTTTTCTAAAGATATGTGCCAAATTTAATGGTAATCTTTTAAAGTCCTATACACATGGGTGTGGAAAGATCTCATAGTATCATTACTCTATTTAAAATCCCAAAATTGTATTTTAACATACCTAAACATTTTCAGATTTCAAAAATTCAAAATTTACTTTAAAATAATCTGAAATTGCATTTTCCCGCTAAGGATCTTGTATTTTTGTTACATTCAAATTAAAAATCTAAAAAAATTTGTGAGGGAGAAAAAAACAAAAAAAAAGCCCCGACTACCCTCTCTCCCACCAAGGATCCTCTATTTTTATTGCTTTTGGATTCTCAGAATCCAAAATATGGACAATTTTGGAACCACAAAATAAACGCTGTATAAATGTAACAATGGTAAACTGTAGGTAAGTTTTATATAACGTTAAATAGAATAGATATTAACATAATTCTCTCCTTTTCTTTTATAGTTAATGTAAACTGCGGTGGTTGTTTATATAATTTAGAGTTCATGCTCATTTTCCAAATATAACGAAAGAACAACAGGAAAAAGCAAAAAGAAACAAGAACAATACACCTCGAACATAGAGATTAACAGCAAACCATTTACAACATTTTCTCACAACATATCCTCACACAGTTGATAATTCAAACTACTATACAGGTGCAACACATAGATAAGGTCTCTTTCCTTCAACAAGACTGCAATTTTTATTTATAATTCATAGTGAGACAGTTTAAGCAGTCTAAAGTGGTGCTCTAAACTGGAACAGCTTCACGAAACTTGCCGGTTTCTTTGGGAGCCAAACTGTCATAGTATTCAACCAATATTTTCCACCCGCCAGGGCACATGAACCCATCAGGTGGGTTCTCACGATTCTTCGCAAGAGTGCGCATCTGTATCAAAATATAATCAGTACTTTACCTTTACAATCAATATTATCTATGGTTCATTTGTTTAATTCATTAGCAGTAATCTAGAACTCTATTTTATATTTTTCTCGTGAATGAAAAAAGCATGTCTATTCATTGAATCTTAAGTGAAAGAGCCTGATATTCAAAAAAGTTAACAAAGAGCAAAGGAGATTAGCTAATAGAGTTTACCTTAGTGCCAGAAATAAAGAGGAAATCCTGAGGCCTTGACGGGTCAAAGAAATCCATTTTCATCTGTTTTTTATCATAGGCTGCAACCTGCATTCATACCACAAACATAACAAAATATAAATCCTTTATTGTCGATTACTTATGATAAGTGTACCTTTTTTAGAACCTTTATGGGTTTGTTTCTACATTAATCAAACAGTAATGGGCGTTTTTCTTAGGAAAACTCATGCAAAAACAACTGAACCACACTCTTTAGAATATGAGCAATAACCAGCCAGAATATGAACTAACTGAATGACTATGAGTTTCATAAGTGGTGAGGGTACCCTGAAAGGCAATATGTTGAGTCTCTCAAGTCCAGGAGCCATACTCAATACCATTTTTCCATGATCTGCATCATAAAGATCCCTCTTTTCTACAGGATGGCTCATACCAGCAGGGTCTCTACCTACTATATAAAAGTTTGCCCCAGCATTTATCCGAGACTTAGCATGCCATTGCACCTCAGTTGGGCCCGCATAATGCATGGGAGAGGGGAAGATTGCCACAACTGTAGTATCCGGATTTAGAACACCTTCTTCAAGAACCTGAGGAAAACCGTGAATAGAAACTAGCCATTATAGTCAACTTAGGGAAAGAAACTATATATATATATATATATATATCGCTCTAGAATTGATACAAAATAATGAACTAATCATGCATGAATTTATTTTCTTATCATTTACCACTTCTTCTTTTTTGTGTATATTATTTTCTTTCTAAATCTTACTATAGAGATTTGGAAAGAAACATTTTTTTGGGTACTTCAGGGATTTTGGGTACTTCAGGGATGGGAATTGATACAGTGTTCCTAATGTCAACTGCTGACTAGTCCAGCCCAAGCCAAATTCCTTGAAAAAGTAGGTCAGCAAGTTTTGTGTTGACTTTGAACCCTTGACCTCCTCGCGCAAACTAATATGTCTGATATCCAGGCAAATTCTAAGAGATACTCAGCATATTTTGGGTCAGGGATTTTGCATTTTTGCTAAGAGAAAATCTTAATCACTTATTCAATTACACTGAGACAGTTGATTTCAAAATTGCCCTTGGCAATTATACAAAATATCGCCACACAAATGTGATCTGCACATAAGGGCAGGGGAATCATAGGTCCAACATTTCAAGAATGTTTTATGAGTGTATTCCCCAAAGGAAGTTTCCAATCAAATAGCTTTATTAATGTAATGTCCCCATTTTCACACAATCGATATGTCATCAGCTTCTCCAATGCTATATTTTTGCATATACAATTGAACTGGACACATAGCAACACCAATAAAAAAATGAAGATAGAAAAATTAATTATGAGAAGAGAATAACTTATAAACCTTCTCATGTTGCTTCATCCTCCAGCTGAGGGGAACATCATCAGCCTTTGTGAAGCCACCCAAGGGGTGAAGCAATAGAATTGGGTTCTTATAACCCATCTTGAGGAGGCGCCTTCGAGTATCAGTCATAAGCAAGGCATGACCATTGTGAACTGGATTTCGGAGCTGGAAAGCAAATACAGCATCGGCCCCACGCTTTTCGAATTCATTACGGAGTTGAGAGGGGGAGAGCCGATACTGATCAAGGCCATCATTGTACTTTATTGGCTCTATGACCTCGAGGTCACCACCAATAAGCCAATTACCTGCATTGGTTATTGCTTCGTCTACATAAGGAAGACCAGGGGCAGTGGTCCCCCATGTTCTTGCAATCCTCTCTTCTTTGTTGTGCTTGTAAATTTCAATGCTGAGAAGACCATCAACATAACAAATTTCAAAAACCAACAAAAGCAAATAAAGAACAGTCCAGTTTTTCAAGAGTTAAATCACTTCAGGGATCAACAGAGTTCATCGGCTTCTCTTACTGGGACTATCAACATTATTACCAAATTATGATGGCATTACATGTCCAGAGATTAAAAACTTTCAATATCATGTTCCTGAGGTAAACCTATTCATACAACTATTTCTGATAAATAGAAATCCTATTTTGTCAAGTATTACACTTGGTAAATGCCTTGGAAGCAATCAAACTTATCGTGATTGTGGTTATATCTTAGCATATTTTCTCTTAGATATGTTAGCTTTACTGGTTGGAACTTCCAGTTATCTTGGCAGGAATCTGATATTGAGAACTTACAGGATATCACTGCTATGACCCTGAAACAAAACATTCGAGAGAATTGAAAAGCATGAATCCCTTTGGACTTATACTGAAGGCATGAGAAGCTTGGAGGTCAACTGGTGATGGAAGACCCATGGAAGCATATTCAACAGAAAAAGATCATGGTTGTTTATGCTACCACTTTGGTTTTAATGTGATTTAGGGGAGTCATTCTCATTCAACTTACAACAGTTGTTTGATCATAAAGCCCTAAGCCAGTAAGATAGTGTCCCTCCACTGAATATGAAACTGAAATGTTATACTTTCTATGGAGAAGCTCCAGTTGATCAATATCTTGTTGATAGCTTAGTGCTGCTCAAGCTGGTTCTCAAGTCCTATTAGGGTTCAATACAAGCCTTCAAATCAAAGCAAGAGGGTTCATTGAAAATTCATATAGCATACAAGTACACTTACACAATGGCAAGACTAAATTGCAAAAGTGTAAAGAGACAATCACCAATACAAGTTTTTGGAGGAAACATATGAATGCTGCCCCTTAGTAGCATGGCAGAAGGTTTCAAAAGTATATTAGATTTTAGAAGTACTCATCAATCAAATAAAAAGGCTGAAGGACTATGGATATTCAATAAAAGACGAACTAACAAACAATGCACCTCGATAACTTAGCAAACTTGATCTTGATCTCTCAAGATTGCAAGAAATCAACAGAAATTTTTTTGGATTCATAAGGGGCAAACATGAATAAGTAATTTGAGTGTGGGAATACTTTGGTACTTAACTAGGTCAGCCTTAGTACAATGAACGTGTGCACCCATATAAGTTACCAGTACCAAGGTGGTAAGCATTTTCCTAAAGAAATCAATAGTTTTGAGTAAAGAAATTGGTGATCGCAGCAATCAGATATAATATTTTATCTCAGGAAGAACATAGTTAATCGAAACTTAGTAAACTATAAGCATGAAGATAACTACAAATGACATTAACAAAAAATCAATTCCATATAAAATTTAAAGTGTGCACCCATACAAGTTACCAGTACCAAGGTGGTAAGCATTTTCCTAAAGAAATCAATAGTTTTGAGTAAAGAAATTGGTGATTGCAGCAATCAGATACAATATTTTATCTCAGGAAGAACATAATTAATCAAAACTTAGTAAACTATAAGCATGAAGATAACTACAAATGACATTAACAAAAAATTAATTCCATATAAAATTTAAAGTTAAAGTGAAAGGTTGGAATGAAAAGAATAATTAAGTATAATGTACAACAATGATTGAAAAGTTGGCCGAGTCAATTTAGCCATGGCTGAGTTACTTAGATTCGGCTCATTGCCGAGCAGAGTCCTCAAGTGCAACTCAGCCACTTGAAAATTTAAAAAAAATTGCAAAAAAATATAAAAAATGTAGGATCAATGTACAAAATTTATATAAGCAATTTGGATTTATTTACAATGATTTGTGGGTTTTCTTGTCATATGGCCTATTTTTATACTGGGTTGGTATCGCGTCCACATGTTGTGGATGCTTAAAAGGAGCACAAGTACCTTTTAATTGTTCAGATTGACTAGACTCATCCAAGGGCCAATAATGAATTTCATTTTTTGTTTTTATTCTTTCTCTAAAAATGATATTAATCTGAAATGTGGGCTTAAACATAATTTTTATAAGCAGAATTGAATATAGATAATAAAAAATATTTTGAATAAAAAATATTGATTAAAATAAATTTAAGGGTATTTAGGTCATTTTTCTACCTAAAATATTTTTTAAGAAATTTTATTTGGTTATATTTATAAAAATAAATCTACACTAAAAAAAATTCAAACAAACTTATTTAAATAAAAAATAAAAAATAAAATATGAGATCAATTTTTGTCCCTTAGGTATGGCCTCATGAAATCTAAACCAAGGGTGCTTGTGCATCCTTCCACCCATCTACATGATGTGGATGGGATACTTTTCCTGTTACATTTTCTTCTTCTTTTTGGATTTTTCTAAAATAGCTCATAAATCAGTTTTTTCTAAATCCATATTTTATATATGTTTTTGTCTTTTTTGGACTTTTATTTTGCCTTTGGTTTTTTTAACTATTACAATTATTATTATCGTTTTTATACAATTTTTTGAATTTTTTTTTAAAATTCTTTAAGGTCTTTTGGGCCCTGCACTCTACTCAACCAAGTCCACTAGGACTTGGCTGAATTACTCACCTTAGGCCAAGGCCGAGCCTGATGCCCGAGGCAAGTTAAAAAACATTGATGTAGAATATAATACAATGCTACAAATAAAATTGAAATAAAAATTTAATAATAAAACATATATTAAATAGACCAAAAAACAAAACCAGAGTTAAATTAACAATAAATTAATCTTTTCGAAGTGAACAGAATTAAATTAAGGTAGACCAAATTAATATATTGCAATGAGAACGGAACCCGTTCTAGGATGAAACACTTGGGAGGTTGATGTTGCCAATCATCTAAGCCAAAAGGACTAACCCTTCATTCATGTCCTCTTCAGATTTCGCAAACCATAAAGAAAATACACAAGTACTGATGGAAAACATTGAGTAAGACAAAGAAACTGTGCACACAATAAGGAAAAGTTATCCCATATCTGAACAGCTAAACAACCACTAGACTCAGTCATCCAATCATAGTCTCTAAAAAAAAGCACTAGCTACTGCAATAAATCTGTTCTAGTAGCCATAGATCTAAAGTACCGAAATAGTCTAACCAATAATTGTTTTGCCTTCACATGCTACCAAAAATATCTAGAGTGTCTTCTCAAAGGTCATGCATGTCATTTTATTCCAAATTCATCTCAGTCAAACACTGTCTCATGCATTGTCAATCAATAAGAATGCTACAAGGTTAATCCAATTGATAAAAAAAAATGAAGCCTACCACTTGTTCAAACAAATCGCTGCAAAGAATACTAAGATGCCCTTGAATGAGAAAGGGACTAACGTGGCCTAAGACACACAATGTAACCATAAATCCACCATTACAACTTATACAATAGCAACAATGCATATATAGGTAAAGTCTGATCCTCCACAGCCTTTCCCGCCCCCAACCCATTTTTCACTCATTCAATAAGCAAGGAGGGATTGCTCCTCAATATTGATAATGATCGAGAATCATGGTCTTAATAAAGTCACCTAACTATGCTATAATGGAATAAGAAGTAGGAAGCTAACACTAACAAGAATTTTAACACCAAATGAAGAGCAAATTTGACCTCAAATGCTCTACCCACTCATGAAAACCAAGATTCCAAGTTGTCTTAATGGCAATGATTTTGTCACATTATTAAGGTGTGGGTGCCCAAAGATAAAAAAACAGTGCATGAGCATAATACTTCTGCGGACGGATCTGACATAGAAGAATACTAAATTTTTGCAAAAGAACTTGAAACAGTATCCTGATTCTTATTCCTCAAAGACGAGAAGTACCAAGAAGACAATCAAAAGGCCTTTCCCAATGGTGGAATAGGTAGTATTTGGACAATTGGCCCGGTTGAAACAAAATATGTTTAGAGCTAAAAGGTACCAAAGAGGACAATCAAAGGGCCTTTCCCTATCATTTGTATAGGACAAGCGTGACTTCCATTAAGAGGCTATCAGCTAGCAACATGAACACTGTATATGATATCTTGCCAAGTAACTGTCATATAAAGAAGTCTCACAATAGGATCAGCAACAAGATCACCCATTTGATGCGAGAACTTTATTTTTGACTTAAGTGGGTCCAATGTGCTGTTGTTTATGATACATGCCCGAGTATAAGCTTCTAAGTACACTTACATTGAAAATTTACATAAGGGAACAATCCTACATCTACACCAAAAATTTTGTTTGAAAAACCCACATTAGCATTTCAAACTGATAATGAAGCAACACCTAAGAGCCCATTGATCATCACCAGTGAGCACAACATCACACAAACAAGACTAAAACTGTCTTAGATGAAATGCCAAAGTTGAATTCTAAGACACTAATGCTGTTTGTTCCAACTCTGCTTGAAGCTTCTCTGAGTTAGGAACAAGGACCCTCTGTTCTTACACACACACACACACAGGAATCTTCAATGTCCATGAGCATTCTATTGTTAATTTAGATATTAAGAGAGAAAGACAGGCAAAATAAAGAAATGAATCTTCAAATCCAGATGCAATCTGTATCAGATCAAAAACATGAGACCAAGATTTTAAAGCTCGGCTGAGTTGACTCGGACTTAGCCAAGTTACTCAGATTTGATACCTTGCCAAGCCGAGTTCCTAGGTACAAACTTGGGTTATATAAAAAACCATAAAAATTATATTTTTTTTCTACTAAATCAATGTATAGATATTTTATATATAATTTTGATAGTTTTGACAATGATTCGTGAGTTATTCTTGTCGTTTTTTCCTTTTTTTTTTTTTTCTATTTCCCCTATTTCAGATTTTTCTAAATTGTATACAGCTATAAATCAAATTTTCCGAATTCGATCATTTTTGGACTTTTAATGTTGTTTACAGTTAGTTGGCTTTTACCTTTTTTCCTGATTCTTTCGTTTTGACTTTTTAACCCTTTTTGGGCTGTACACTACTCGGGCAAAAGTCGCAGAATTATTCGGGCCTGAGCCAAATAAGTAAACCTTGACAAAATTTGCATGAAAAGAAAATGGAGCAAGTAATTCCCCAACTTCCAAATGGGGTCACACTGAATTACGCCTTAAACAAAGAAGACCTAATGGACCAAAAATCCCCGGAACTCACATGCCATCAAAGACATTATTATAAGAAATCAAATTTCACAAAAGAGGTAAAAGAAATAAGCCAAATTCCAACGGCCAACAATAAACAATGGAAATCAAATTAAGAAAAACCCTACAAAAAGCATGATAGGCATGAGAATCAAGTGAATAGAACCTTACTTGTTAAGTATAGCAATAGGCCTGTAATTTGAATCAACGAGAGAGACGCTGCTGGCATGCCCAATATCATCTTTCTGACTGTCATCAATGGCGAGCACAATGGGCACCGACATGTTAACAACCGAACCATCACTCAATCGAAGTGAATGAAAATGAAGAGTTTGGAGGAACTCAGACTGGCGCATGAACCCGCGAAGCGGGCTCGCCCATCCTTCACTCAGAACATGTACCCACTGTAAATCAATCCTTGACAGCTTGATTTTAGGCAACCCCATTGCCTCTCTCTTCTTATTCTCTCTCTTGGAATCAGGAACCAGGAGCTCAACCAATTGCCCACCATCTGGCTCAATCAGCTTACAAGAAACTGATAAGGCGCTTCCCTCTCTCTTCACACATGCCCTGTTTCCTGCTAATTTGGTTCTTCTTCCACTTTGGAAACTGATGCTTCTCATGAAATTTGAATTTGAGAGAGAAGGGTTTCGGATTGGTTTGAGGGCGGGTGATGATGATAGGAGAAAACCCGTCTCGCCCAATTGGGTTTTGGGGATCAAGGAAGACATTGACGCCATCTCCTTGACCCAAACAGACCCAATTCAAGAGAAGCGTCGAAGTGGGTTTTGTTTGCGAGTTGAGAGAGAGAGAGATTATTTATTTCATTTAATGGGATAGTGTATTTCAGTCATCTCCATAAAAAAAAAAAAAATGGAGAAACAGAGGGATGGTGGTTTTCAAATGCACATGCACATGTGGTTGTTGATATATAAATAATTGTTTTTTCCACAATAAATAAAGTTAAGTGGATTTCTGCTTAAAGACAGAAAGAGACGGATACATGTCCTTTGCGGATTCGATTCTCATAATTTGAAAATGAAGGGGGGTTCTTTTGATTCAGATGCACCTGTGCCCTTGAATAAGAGAGAGAGGGGGGGGGGGGGGGTCAAAGTACCATGCAAAAGAGAGAGAGAGAGAGAGAGAGAGATTCTGTATATTCTGAATAATAAGGGAGGGAGGCGGCTTCCTTTTGGATCTAGAGTCTCTAAGACAGTAAAAAGAGACGTGTACCTCTGTCTCCCCAGTATAGGTGCAGATGTGAGCTTGGGATCCAATTGAAAAGGAGAGAGAGAGGTCAATGTAGAGAGAGAGAGAGTCCAATGCAAAGTGTAAGAAAGTTCAATGTAGAGAGAGAGATCTATGTACAAAGGTACTACAGCATGATATATATATATATATATATAGGAGGAGAGGGTGGGCGTGAGTCAAGAGAGGTGGGCACTTGAAGGTTGAAAGAGGAAGATGCATAGAAAGCAAATCCCATACAAAAAGAAGAGGGAAATGCAGGAGAATGGGACGACGGGGGAATGAACCTGGTCATGTTTTTGAATCCCCTCCATCTCTATCTTTCCACTTAAATATGGTCTTTCAATTTAATGTATTTTATAAGGTGCCGGCTACCTTTTCATTATTGGGCCAGGCAAGGGTAACTTTATCATCCACACTGATCCCCTAATCCCTTATTTAATTCCCACAACCAAGTTTGCTTTTTTCTTTTGCATAATACCGTCATCTTTATCGTCACAATCAGTGTTTTAAAAGTCGAATTTGGGCCCGACACATAAGCGTCCCATTCTAACTCCCTTCTTAATCACACGACTCACTCCGAGTTTTGGACTAGAGCATTTCAATAAGGTATTATTTTTCCTATGAAAAATCCAGGAGATTCGACCCAGGAAACCGTGTGTTTTGATGAACAGGGACCATTAGAACCACCTGACTCCTTAATTTTATTTGATTCAAGCGACTTGCTTGAATAATTTTTAAAATATCGATCACTTTTTATTTGTTATTTTGTTAATGTTTGGATGGTCATTGGTACTTGAATGGTAATATATAACTAACGAAATAGAAAGGGAAGTTCTATAAAACGCTATAAGACCACTCATGCTTTATGGGATAAAATTTTGGGGGATCAAGAAACAACATATTTATAAAATGAATGTAACTGACGTGAGAATGTTGAGATGGATGAGTGATAAAACAAGAAAAGATAGCATTCTAAATGAATATATAAGATAAAACTTAAGAGTAGCTCCAATAGGTAAAAAAGATGACAGAAAGTAGACTCAGGTGATTTCACCATGTGCCACACCGACCTAGAACAACACCATCGATTAGGAGCATCAACTCGGTTGAAGTTGAAGGCTCTAAACGGATAAGGAGAAAGTTCAAAATAACATTGATGGAAGTATTGAGAAGATATATAGTAACTTATGGTTTGACTGAGAATATGGCCCTTAATATAGCATAATAGCAAAAAAAGATTTGTATAGCCGACCTCAAATAGTCGAGATAAAGCCCAAACGAAAATGATGATGAATGGAAAAATATAACCAAGGTATTGATATTGATGTTGACCAATGTTTTAAAACTTGGCAATTGCCGATTCAGATCACCATTCTAGATGGGAATCAGTTGGGATCGAATCAGTTCTGGGATGGTATAGATCTCAGTCTAATTTTCCCCAAAGCCTCCTTTTGTATTATTTTTTTCTTTTTAAAACTTATCTAATTTTTTCTATATTCTGATTTAAATCTCCACACCATAAACCTCATTTTCATTTTTTATCTAATCTTATTTATTTTAAATATTTCCTAGTTTATCAATTCAGACCGATCCAGACCCGATCTTATCACCGATCCAACGATATGACGTAAATATGTGGGTGAACGATATGTCTGATGATCGGTGGGTCGAATCATCCACCTACAAATATATGTTAGATCACTAGATCAACGATCAAGATCCAGTTTGAATCGATGACCCATAAAAATATTTAAAAATAAACAATTAGATAAAAATTAAAATTTAGGTTCATGCAGTGGGGATTTAAAAAAAACTAAAAAAATATTAGAAAATAATAAAAAAATAAAAAATAAAAACAACATATTTGAAAGTTTTTGGGGGGAATGACCCATGTCATCCCAGAACTGATTTGATCTTGACCTATTCCCATCCATATCAATTATCCGAATAAAAAATCACTTGTTTCTAAAACTCTAATCCAACCCAGCGGGTATTGAAACACCGATGTAGACTTTTGAGCAAAATATTGGTGAAATATTCCATGGACGAATGTGGTGAAATCGATATGGTAGATGGTACAGCATGACATGGACCTCTTGTCCCTCCAAAGGGGGGTAAAGATAAATTTTAGTTCCCATTGGCCCTCTTACATTTCATATCAACCATTGGTTTAAGGTTATGAACGAAATGTCCCGATTTGTAAGATTAGCTATAAACTCTTGGTTTTTTAATCCAATTCAGCCTATTTCTCTTCTCACAATAAATAAATTTTTATTTACAATATATAAAAAAATTATCATTGTTGTCGAAGCCATATGTTTTTTTGCATAATAAAAAATTATACAATAAAACTATTTACTTTTGGTACAAGAGGTTATCATCAATCTAAGTTGTTGGATGTGAATTTAAATTGTCTAGAGATGTATTATTGATTAGGTACAAAGTCCAAATGACAACATTTTGAAATTTAAATTTCACACTTGATAGCTGTGATCTCCTTGTGCCAAGGCCTTCCATGATACAATCCTCTTGACTTTATGATCAATAGAAATAACATTCTATTATAATTCATTTGTTTATAGTCTCTTTTCGCTTTGATCACATGCACTTCTGTAAAGTTTTGCAACCAAAACATTTGTCCATGATTCTAGCATGTAAGTATGTAACCAAGAAGATCAACATCGGCCCTTAATTTACCACCTAGGCCGTTACATACAGGGAATGATTTCATGCAACGGGTGTATAGAGTAGTATAATGCAGTTATCTTAAAAAACTATGCTAGAGGCATTTGTTTGACATGAATTTTTAAATGCTGAAGAACAATCACAAAAAAGAAAATTTTAAAAAAATGCTATAGAAAGTTTTCATTCTAGCCCAATTAATATAAGCCGTCCATTTTATTGAGATGGTTAGATATAGGCCTCAAAATGATTTTTTTATTCCCAAAATTTTTAAACAGCGTTATCATCATTAGATTAATAATGCTAAAAAACAAAAAAGTGATTTTGAATTTGTCAAGGCCTAGATCTTGAAATTCACCAAATGGATGGTCGAGATTCATTGTTAGATGGGTACTAATTTTGACCATATCTAGGATGTAAATTGAAATTTTTTTTTCATAGGATTGATTATGAAGATAAAGAAAATGTGTGTGCAAAATTTGGGGTCATACAAAATGCCAAAAATATGGTTTTCTAGATGTGTGGTTGCATTATACTACTATACAACCATTGCAGTAGATCATTTTCCGTTATTTACATATAAGCTCCAATTGAGAGGAGGCATTTTGTTTCACGTATTTCTCCAGGGATTGTATAAAAATTAAATTATTTGCCTTTGTTATAAGGTCACAATTAGTTATAACCATCTGATGTAAAATTTGATTGCTTGGGTGGTCATAAAGTTCAAGAAAATTCATTTTGAACTTTACGCTTGGTCAATAGAATAAATTAAGCCACCCAATTTTACATCCAATGGTCAAGATTAATTGTGACCTCCACGTAACATAGGTAAATAGTCTCATTATATACTTTGCCTTCATGGGGTCATAAGAGTTTTTGAACTAGCGTTATTAGGATTGGACTACCTACTAAATTGGTGAGGAAAATGGTGGAGCCGCAATTCAAATAACTTAGAATGGATTTAAAAAAATTAAAAAATTAAAATTAAAAAATAAAATAAATTATGGATATCTCAAAATGAACTTTATAGACATCTTCCCCTAATAATTTTGAAATAAATTATGGATACTCAAAATGAATTTTGTAGACATCCTCCCTTAATATTTTTGGTATAACACCCTCCACTTAAACATCATTTTTTATTGTATTTACTCCACTAAAAAAATAAAAAGAATTAAGACTAAAATGCCTTCCTCTCACTTTCGCTACCTACGCTCTCTCTAGCTCTTTATCCGCCCTATATCTACCCGCAACTACCCGGGAGGGAGAGAGAGAGCCATACACTGTTCTGTCTTTGGAGTTAGCAGATTCTTTTCAGCAGTTTCTGATTGGGCAGGTGCCCAAAACTTCAATTCGGGCTTAAGAGTTGACATTAAAGAACGAGGGAGGGAGAGAGAGATCTCCATTCTTGTGTCTCTCTCCATTGTTACGTTTTTGAAGTTCTAGATTTTTTTCAGTAGTTTCTGATTGGGCAGGTGCCCAAAACTTTAGTTCGGGCTTAAGGTTGCTATGAGAGAGAAAGATCTCCTCCATTCTTACGTCTTGGAAGTTGCAGATTCTTTTCAGCAGTTTTTGATTGGGCAGGTGCCCAAAACTTCAATTGGGCCTTAAGGTCGACATTTAGATTTTAACGATATAAGAGGAGAGTGACATTTATATGTTGCTGTTACAGGCCCACTAAGTAAAGAAAAAATATGCTTGCCTTTCAGGTTTTAGGAGAGAGGGTGGATAGAGAGTGAGTGAGTGAGAGAGATGACGGATAAAGAGAGTGAGAAAAAGAATTATAGTTTCAATTTTTTTTTTGGACTTGAGAGTAAATATAAGAAAAAATAATATTTGGGTGTAGGGTGTGATACTAAAAGTATCGGAAAGGATATCTATGAAGTTCATTTTGGGGATATCTATAATTTTTTGAAATAAAAATTACAAACAATAATACTATTTAATATATTAAAAAATGGAATTATATATTATGAAACCATTTATCTTTGGTACACAAAGGTCACAATTACTCCAAGCCATTAGATGTTAAATTGGATGACTTGGGGGTATCACTACGATTGAGAAAAGAAAATTTGAACTTTAAGTCTAATCAATGATTACGACATCTTTGTACCAAAAATAAATGGTGTCTTTATATAATTTTTT